CTGAAGACTCTGAAGACTCTCACTGATGCTGCCAAGCTTTATTAAAACGTTGTGTGAAACCACCTTTTATGGAGACCACAGATTTGACCAGTGTTGCCTAGAAGTTCTGCTCTGCTTGGGAAAAGAAGCCTTCAGTAGTTTGATTAAATAGACCGTGTTTACTCTGAAAGATAACAGACCAACACCAGGAAAGGACTTGTCTGCAATACTGCCTTAAAGGGTAACTTTCTTTCTGACACTTAAAAGTGAAAAACCAGAATTCACAAGCAGGATAGCAAAAACAGTACTGTTAAGACCTGGATATTTTTTACCATTTGTTTTTGTCCGTTCTTGAAGTGTCACTCCCTTCGGCACAAACAACCAGAACTTAAATATTTGAGACATTTTGTATCATAACAGTATGCAAGAAATTAGCTGCAGTCGCTCATAAAGTACTATGGTAGCTATAAAGAAACACAGAACCTACAGTAAATCTTGATTAAAATCCACTGTCTTTCATCAGTTCTTGGTTTTCCTAAAAATGCAACATGGGAAGGGGCAAGCCTTGTCATAAATTCCCACTCTGGACTGCTCACATCAGAGCTAACCAACTTCATCCTGTTCATACTGGTGATTTACTGAACACACAGAATGCCCATCACTTACATTCCAGGATAGCAGCCATTCCTTTCAGACACGCGTGCCACGGGATCTTCAGCTGCAGCTGTCTGTCTGGGATACAGTGTCCCTGCCCAGACAGACACCTACTGTACCACCCTGCCAGTGATCTCACACCTGCCTCCTGCTAAACACAGTAGTAGCTGATATGCCACGCGTGACCCTACACATGCTTCAGCTCCTTTACATCACAAGATGCCCACCCCAGCCCCCAGCTGACCTCCTGCATACTTCATGCCTGAGGTCGTACCAGCAATTACAGACAGTCTTGAAGGCTGGCGGCAAGAGTTAACAAAAGTGAAGTCATGTTTAATCATTACACAGACGCTGCTTATCGGCAAGGCCGATTTAAGTCTGCAGACTCAGACTGCAGCTGAGTCTGCAGGAGAGGCAGGGCTGTCATTTCCAAAAGCAAGCCTTGTTCTGAGCGTGAAGGAAAAGTCCATTTTCTCCGGTGCTGCCACTTTAAAATGACACACACCTGATTTACAGACTCCTACTGCTAGGAGGAGGGCTATACCATACCTCTCTAGCACCAGCATGGCTTTTCCATTTCTGCAACTTCTCTTGTTGGACACAATGGGGCATTATTATTTAACTGGCTTCCAAGGTTTCATTTCATTGGCTTTCTTTTTAGGACACCTTTATCTCCAAACAATGTTTCAGTACTCCTTCCATAACTATATCAGGGCCTTCTTCTGCAAAGTTTGGCATCTTTTTTTGGGGGTAACTAGCTTCCGGCATTGTGTTTGCTTGTGTGCTCAGCCTCCAGCGTGTGGACATGCTCGTACTTACAGTATTAGTGTGATCACTTCGCTGTATTAATTTGGAAGACGGATCTCAACAGCCCCAGTTTAATTACCCCAACAGTATAAATGACCCACAAAAATCAATACTGGGATGTGACTTAAAAAGTTGTAAAAAATGCAACAGTTAAAATAGTTCAAATGCACTAGCAAGACTAAGCTGGTTTAAAATGCTGTGTACACTATTGATCACCATGTTACAACAAAACAAGCTCCATGGGATGTCTTCTTGTTTGTAACCTAACAGCTGTATATTCCTCCAGCTGACTTCCATCTCAGCCTGGAGTTATGGAAAACTATTTCTGAGATTGTTGTGTGTCATTTGACAAGTAACCTCTAGATGACTTTTTCTAATGCTTGTGAATGAATTTGACCACGTTTGGTGGTGATGATGCCTTGAAAGATTTGATAATGAAAATGACCCATGTCACTAATCCTAGCCTTCACACAATAAATAACAAGGGGAATAAATACTTAATCGATGTGGCAATGTGTACTGTATGTGCTCTTTAATTTTCAGGGTTGGTTAAGCAGATGGTACAAGACGTATTTCTTTACCCTTCAAGCTTGCATGTTTGCCCATTTTCCTAAGAAGCCAATACATTAACTAGAGAATTCCTGATTATGAAGGAGAGGAACAATACATTATGAATTAAAAATACATTAAATACAGGTCATCACATTCCTCTCAAGAGGATTTTTTCCTGTCAAACATGCCAAGTGTTCCCAAAACACGCAGTTAAATAACTGAACTCTTAACGGAACACTTAACACTTTAATAATTTTCAGCTCCCAGACCATTGCAAGTAACTTCAAAGCTCCAAACTCTGAGCAGAAAAAGACAATCCAGCCAAGCAACTTGCCAAGGATTAATTGAAGACATCAGATGCAATGATACTCAGCAGTTGTATCCTTAAGACCAGGACTGGTTAGCTGAAGTTCTGTAAGCTGGTGATTTCCCTAAAATAGAACATATGTATTAACACACTCAAGATGCAGTCTAACTGAGAGAACAGTGAGAAACAATGGCTGGTATGCCTCACCCTAGACACATTATGTTATGAGTCACTGATGAAACGTTCATATCATGACAACTTTGTTGCATTTGTTCAGGCAATTTCAGACAACAGTGCAGAATGCTTCAGCCCACACTGCAGTTAAAATGTATTTCACCAAAAACCCTCAAATTCTCAGTTTCTGGCTGTGATAGACAACTGAGACCTGTGCTATGTCTTGGCAAGGCTTCTGATTCACAACACCGTGCAGACCAGCTGGCCTGTATCAGCTCGAGTTGTGGAAAATCATGTCAATTATGTGCGCTATTTGAGGGTTTTATTTCAGTTGAACAGCTCCAAGAATCTTTAATAAGGTTAAACAAATAGACATTAACATACTGCCTGACTTGCAGACTTAGTACAAGGATTTCTCAAAAACCAGTACAATGCAAATAGAAGAATGTAAAAATGAAAACCCTCTTCCCATTAATTTAGCAGTTTTATGATGTTATTTTTCCCCCGTTTACTGTTAAAATACCTCCCCAGCAACCAAAGAAAACTGAAGATGGCTTCTTCAACAGCTAATACACTTCGCCCTGTCAAGAATCAAAATCAAATAGTGTACAAATGTTATGCAGTCATATTACAATGATAGACAAACACTAATATCTGAGGCACTACAGCAGGGCCTATAGTTCTTCATAACTGGAAACTTTAAAAAAATCTTCAGAAAATGCCCATCACACCAAAATCCTTTGTGCTATCCATAAAAATCTCATAAATAAATCACGCTCTTGCTTTATACTCCTTGTCAGCATATTACGCACAACTGTTTGTTTAACGCTGAGGTAGTTACTTCACTGGTGGTGCCAAAGTGCTAGTGTGAGATTGTGAATTAACATTTAAACTTCTGACTCTTTTAACCTTGCTGGGTGCATTTTAATAAATATAAGTCTGTGCTTTATAGTCCTTTAATTCCATTGTATGGCCAGTTTTAGCTTCAACTACTTAATTCTGACTGCTGCCAGTCCCTTTACTACAGGGAGGGACAGCACCAGCGAGGACTGTACATGGTGTACTGATACTTTTGAACTAATCAGTGTCCTTAGGTTTGGAAAGGCGCCTTATGTAAATAAAAGTCAATAATACTAATACTGACTTGGGATAAAAGTCTTCCACATCTCCCCTCCCTCTTCTCAACATTTAAACCTTTGATTCATTCACATTTCTTATCCATATACTGTTATTATATGAACCACGTATTATATAAAAAATTAAGATCCAAGCTGGAATAAAAATCCCAGGACTGTCGGGCTTTCTTCAGGACACATTCCCTCCGAAAATTAAATAGTGTAAAAAGCCATTCATTTGTGACATCAACATGCGTTAATAATCACAGCTAAAGACGCGAATTTACGTCAACCCCCCCTACAGATGTTTCCTGCGTAATTTTATCACTGTAACCATAGTTGCTTTGCGGAACCCCGGTAAGTTCGCCAACCAAAAGAGAACTACTTTGTGATGCAATAAAAATAAACTGGCATGAACCCTCTTCTTGCACTTTGTGAACACTAACACGGGGGAACCGAATAAACTGACTTGTACAGGTTTTACTGCATCTGGTTCAACGGTGGGGTCAAATGAACATGGAATAAAAGTTAAACAAATAATCAAACGTGGACAGCCGGCTTTTTGTTTATTCAAATCAATAAAGATTTTCTTCCACCCCAATTTACTGTATTACAGTCTGGACGTTCCTTCAACCTTTTCAAGGTTAGCTCTGGTCATGCACTTCTACAGTGTATGGTTACACAAGTTGTGCACAGCTCAGTGACAGTAGCCTTAAACTTTTAAAAAGTGCAATCGTTTTGTCTGTCTTTTGTCACTTCTGTAACTCCTTATGTGATGCTTCAATGTAAAACTTCTCAAACAGTCATTTTAAGCAAGGGCGTTACGCTTCAGGGGTCACACCATTATACAGATGGAGAGGTCTGGGGTATCCCCATTTCTTTAAGTCAGTGAAGCAGTAACACCCACGCCCTCCAACCAACATGCTGTACTGCATCAATATACCGTATTAACAAACTTACTCAAAAGTGACACCATTTAAATTGACAAATAACTACACTTAGTTCGAGAAAGTCAACTTAGTTATGGCGTTCCGTCATCAATTTCTTACGGCGCAGGCCGAAGCTAGTCAGTTAACCTCGGTTTGCAGCTGTTAAGAGGATGTAAATTGAGTGCGTTACCATTAAAAAAACAATTTTATAATAGGTCAGTCTTATAATTAGAGTAAATCGGTATTGTACACATAGGGTCTTTAGCAGTAGAATGAAGTACGGCTAACCACATGAATACAACGCTGATAATACTGTATGGGCAGCTGCTTCCTGAAAATACAGAACCGCGGCGTACAGTGCCGCACTCTTCGTGAAAAGGAACCGATTTCTAGCAGAACGACTTTGTACCCGAGAGACGAGATCAACACAAATGCCCACGTTACTGCACAACATCTTGTAACGGGCACCGCGAAAGGACTTACAGCACGCAGAGGGCGTACGCGCCGCTGACACTCTCGCTGTCTCGCACGAGGAAACTCCCATCTCGACCGGCCCGGGCCAGCAGCTCCTCCGCCGCGGCTCGGCTCAGGTCCCGGTGATACCACAACGGAGCCGCAGAGCCCAGGGGAGACAGTCCAGCCATCATCGTGACAAACAAAAAAAAAGACGTATCCCACAACTGTGATAAATACTATTTCCTGGATATGCAAATCGGTAAATATAGCCTGCGATAAGTACAAAACAGGAGAAATATCCCAGTTCACTTTTCAGCTCGTTAGAATTCCTGAAGGTCCGGAGTCGAGGATTCACTTTTCCCTTTTCCCTCGGAAATAAATATATGGAAACAGAGTGGGAAAAGTCGGATCCGTGGAATCATAGTACAGCATCAATGGGTCAAATTAAATATCACAGCGACAATATTGTTTTTGAACTGTGTCGATAAAACACAGACGTTAGCTTTCCGAAGTTATTTTACAACTTCTTGTCAGTCCCTCTTGTTTCGTTGCATTGAAATAGCTTTGACTGTATCAAAATGGAAATCAAATGGAAAAAAACATCAGTGAAACTTTCTGGACTAGGCTGCTTCAGAATATACCGAAATCCCGCTACCGCAAATCAAATTGCAGAGAACTGATGTTTACCTCCTACTGATTCAAGTACAATACGCAAGAACTATTTGCAAAGCACAGCACGGTTTTTACACGATCGCGTCCTTCCCTTTAAAATCCTTTCTTCCCGACTGTAAAATTCCACGATATTCGATTACATAAATATGAAATACACTTCAAGAGTGCCCAGGACATAGAATTTCAGAACTTCCCATCTTCTTTTCCTTTCTTGTTTTGATTTAAAAAAAAAACTTAACATCCACCACATCACAATTAAAATACTGCCATCCGCTGTTTGCCCATCCTTTTCAAAGCTCCATCCACCTTCCTCTGATAGTTATTCCTGTCGCGGCTGTGTACTTAATGCAGATGTTAAAAGTGAAAACGATATTTTTCATCCCGGGGCAAAGCTTTTCGAAATTCACGGAAAACCTCTCGCTCTCCATTTAAAACTCCAAACATCCAGCTCGGTAGCACTTGCTAAATAGGGATCCCCTTCCTACACTAAAGAGAACTTTTCCCTTTCCTGCTAAATCCTGTCCCTGGCGTCTCCTTTTGAGCGTGCTCACCACACTCAGACTTGAAAAAAAAAGTTACTGAGAAAACTTCCTGCTCTGTTACACCATTGGTGTAATTAAAGGGCCAGGTCGCTACTTACTACTCGAGGTCGCTGCTACGAGAAATCATCCTCATACAATTTCGTGCCCATGTCTTGTGATATTTGTTTTATTTGCTAAAAAGAAAAAAATAAGTTCTATTTTTTTAAACCAAGATTTGCGCGAAAGGTTACCCTGCCGTGTTTTCAGAGATAAAATCCTGTCTTCTATAAGAAAATGTCTATATCTGAGATCCTCAGATCATTTAGCCACTAGCAACTGAAAATAGACCAAATGATGGGTTAAATAGTCTTTTCCAGTTTATGCTTGTTCTTTGGTTCTTTAAACCACGGTTCTGGCTGCATGGCACAATCAGTGGTGTGGTACCACCAATAGCAAATGAGAGTGAGTTAGAAATGTTGATTTATCTTTGGTTAGGGAAAAAGATGGTTAGTTGTAGCCTAGTTTATAGTAACAATAATCTTTCTGTTCAGTATTAAAGGAATCGCAGATACAGACACCTGGTGCATGTGCTTAGCTGAGGAGTCAGTGTTGTGCAGGTGCCATTTGTAGGATTTTGACTGAACACCTTTAAATCAGAATTCTCCCTAAAAGGTCATTGCTGTTTTGAAAGCTTTATGTATTGCAAATCTTTAAATAATAATACTGATTATCTGATACACAATTAGACATTTCTTCTAAACATGTTGTTTTATCTTAATCGTAGACCATATCAAACTTTAAAACTGTGCTAAAATCAAAAACCGCATTACCTCCTGAGACACTGAAACTTCGTAGTGGGATATCCCTCAGGAGGTGTGTGAATCATTAACACAGTGATTGGCTTTAGGTCAGATCAAAAACACAGTGATTGTGGCATTAAAGTTTATGCCGTAATTTGTCATTCAGAAATAAAAGGAGTTGGGACTGGACACAATACATCACACCCAAAAATTACAGCACGCACACCAGTTCTGTGCAGGTACATTCCAAATCCATTGTGCAAATACAAGCAAAGACCGCTGGAAATGTGAGTATGAAATAACACTCACAATCAACAACACTTTGATACCGGATGAAACATGGCATCAGAAATTTCATGGCAAAGATTATTTATTTGCTGGGGTTCCTATAGAAGCTGATATTAAATTGTTATTGATTTCTCTCTGCACACTTTCTTTTTTTGTCCTTTGTCCTTTTTTGCTTTTGCTGCATGCTCCAGGCCCAATCAGAGGGACCAATGTAAACTAAGCTTAGAATGCAGAGTCTGAGGTATTAGTGCCTGCTATGCAATAATCATAAGCTCTCTCGATAGCTTTGAGGACATGAGCTAAAAGGTTCCTGTAAAATGAGCGCTATTCTTGTTTACAGTAAACACATCCCATTCTCACTGTGCTAAAGCTACAGGTTGCACTCTGGTAGTAAGTGGAATACTTTGCGTTGACGTGGCTCAGAACAAGCAGCATGACCTTGTGAGTGTGAGTCATGATATGCCCATTTTCCATGGCAGAAGACAGCTTTATAAATAAATAAGAAAATGGAGGAAAGAAAAAAAAATAAAGCAGAAGCAGGGATTGCTGAGCACAGAATATGGAAGTGGGTTTAAGAGGATTTGACCCATTTGGGTTCTATCCCACCACAAAAATCTTTTTCGTCAGTCAGCACTTCAAACCTAACAATTAAGAGGAAAGAGGTTGGTTTCAAATGATAAGGAAAATCCTCATTGGTTCTTCCATGCAGTCTTATACAGTACTTTACATATTTCCCCCTTCACTTCCAACTTGTTATTTTTCTGTTAGGTTTGAGTTAAATGCTGTCACTGTCCTTTATTGCTGCTCTATGGTGCTTTATTTCTCAACTCTGCACCGTTTTATGTTTAGCTGTGTGCTAGTATGTTGCCCAAATTAAGAGTACCTGCTAAATTAATAATAATTGTTGGATTTTTCTGGGTAAAGTGAGTAAAAGGAGATCAGGAGAACTAACACACTAAACTCTTAGTAAGCCAGAGGGAGCTCCTCTGTGGTTTTGCTCGTTCTGTTTTGGATCATTGTCGGGCACTTGCCAGCAGCCAGCAGCCATATCACCCAGCAACTCACAACTGGCAACCCACTGAAGCTCAGCAGGTATGAGCCTGGTCAGTACCTGGATTGGAGACCTCCTGGGAAAAACTAAGGTTGCTGCTGGAAGAGGCGTTAGTGGGGCCAGCAGGGGGCGCTCACCCTGCAGTCCATGTGGGTCCTAATGCCCCAGTATAGTGACAGGGACACTATACTGTAAACAGGCGCCGTCCTTCGGATGAGATGTAAAACCGATGTCCTGACTCTCTGTGGTCATTAAAAATCCCAGGGCGCTTCTCGAAAAGAGTAGGGGTGTAAGCCCGGTGTCCTGGCCAAATTTCCCATTGGCCCTTACCAATCATGGCCTCCTAATAATCCCCCTCTATGAATTGGCTACATTACTCTGCTCTCCTCCCCACTGATTGCTGATGTGTGGTGAGCGTTCTGGCGCACTATGGCTGCCGTCGCATCATCCAGGTGGATGCTGCACATTGGTGGTTGTGGAGGGGAGTCCCCATTACCTGTAAAAGCGCTTTGAGTGGAGTGTCCAGAAAAGCGCTATAAAAGTGTAAGCAATTATTATTATTATTAATTAAACTCTGGATGCTTTCAGTTCTAGACTGAATGTGTATTGGACTAAATGGCGCTGAATGTGGCTAAAGGTATGTAATATTAACTTGCACTTACCAAACCCTGCCTTGTCTATCAGTAACTAGAAAAAACTGGATTAATAACTTAAATGTCCATTCGTGAAACAGTTTCGCTGCATAAAATATTCAGGCCTACACGACAGAATGATTCATAATGTATGAAGTCCTTCATCCATAACTCTTCGCCAGATAGTGCACGTAAAGAGCCAGTGTTTTCATGAGCCACACACAGCCCTGTTTCTCAAAGCAGGGTTACCAGAAGCTTACACTGTGCGGACGTTTACCGGGGAGTATATCTTTCCCACATGAAATGCAACAAACTCAAGTCAGCAGAACCCTTAATGTGTTTGAAAACGTCATCACTCAATTTAGGAGAACCCCTGCAAGAGGCTGGCTGTATGCCTGGATAAATGTGCAATTTTTTAGCCCAACGTAAGACTTTTATGCTAAAAGCTAAAATAGCACAATTCAGAACTTAGCCAGGGTATTTTACCTATGGAAACAAGCCCTCCAATATGGATTATCCAGGGTTAGAGAAGGCACTGGGTTTGCCTGTTCCTTTGCAGTGTCTATGCAAAGAAAGAGGGTCTAGGTGTAGCTAGTGAATTCACTTTTGGAACAGGAACCACATGTGTCACTATACAGGCATGTAGGTTTGAGTAAAAGTACAGTATGTTGTGAATTTCAGAGCTAGAACTCAGGACCCAAAGTAATTAAACGTGATCAAACATTTTTTTACACCAACCACATGAGCCAAAGTGCACAAAACTGTCAATATGAATATACATCTTTCAAATCTTCACAAACCTATTTGAAACAGGTAAATAGAAACAATTATTTTATTAAAACATTTTAACTCAGAACAACAGCAATGAAAGAAATGCTAAGAGGCCAAACAGGGAGGCTGGAAGACTAAAGGATGCGGCCCCATTAATCAAGCCTTTTTCTACAGCATAATATCGCGCAACGTCTTCATTGGGATTTGTGCCCTCGTCAAACCACATCTGCATACAGCGCCCACTGCTTCTCTCAAACATGCTGTAAGCATAGGAACGGGACCAGATCTTCTCACACATGCTCTGAGGCGTGGGGAAAACGTCAGTGAATTTCCTGCACTTTGTCCCAGCTGGGCAAATGTTTGTACCTGACGAGAGGGGAAGAGAGGAAGATAATGAAATGAAAGCTTGCAGTTTAGGACACTCTGTAGAGCGAGCGATCTGTTGCGGAGTTGAAAGGGAGGTTATACTTGATAATGATTTTCAGACGGGGTTACTACAGAGAACAACTACTGTGAAAGAAGGTCAGAAAAGACTCTCAAGGACATAGCTACGTCAGCATGCGTAGGCTGCAAAGAAACAAGTAAAGGTTTATTGTTGGTTTGTTGAAAAGAAAAGAGACACAACGTTTCGGCTATGGAGCCTTCTTCCAGTGTGGAGAGACTGAAAACACTCTTTCCCACTGGTTAAGAAATGTAAAAACCCTAACCTTATTAAACCTTATTAAACCATATATATTCTTGATTTTGTGTGTTTAGAAAGCATTTCTCTGGCTCAGGCAACTGATTGTAAAATAAGGGTCCCCACATGGAACAAGACACTTCTTCTTTTTTGCTGCCTGCATTCTCAGATACAAAAGGTAAATATTTATGTAATTGATCACAATTACTAATTGACCCTTGAGCAGGAGAAAACAAATCTCTGACACCTGAAATATCCACCTCTCCAGGACAAAGTTATAGCCGGCTCAAGTTTGGTGTTCAAAAACAACAGTCCAGTTGTATCGATCCATCCATTTTCTAACTGCTTTTCCAATAGAGGATCATAGGGAAGCAAGAGTCTATCCTGGCAAACAACGGACGCAAGGCAAGATGGGACACCAGTTTATCACAAGGCACACACAGACACAAACACGCACACACTCACAACACAATTTTCCCACAAGCCAATTAACCTGTCAGAATGTCCTAGGACTGTGGAAGGAAGCCAAAGAGGAAAGCCATTTTAACACAGTGAGAACGTACAAACTCCACGCAGATAGCTCCCCAGGAATTAAATTCACCAGCACTGAGGGTTAGCAATGCAAACCACTGCGCCAACATGTTTTCCCCAATCCAGTTCTGTATGTCTTCTTAAATTATCACCAGCAGCATCGAGCCTGATTAATTGATTCAACTATCCTTATTAAACCTTATTTCCTAATTAAAAAATAATCGTCCTGAGGTCTTGGGTGATTCTCCTACTAAACCTGCTGAACCTGCTGAGAAACAGACTAAGGAACCCTGGCAGGAAGAGTTAATAAGAAACTATTTTAGGGCAGACAAAAGCTCAGAGCGCACAAAATATGTGGTTTAGTTTGAAAAAAAGTTGGGCAGTGGTCTTAATTGTCTGCAACTTAACATTCATAAATCAGCTTGCCCCAGCGTCTTTTTGTACTCATGGCAGTTTCACGAACCTGTGCTCCAATCCCAGCCCTTGTGCCAGTTTTCTTTGCAGGTTAAGTCATTCTTACAGTCCTCCCACCACCCGTTACAGTCTTCTTTGCAAATGGGAACATCGATAATTCGCTCGTTCCGCCACGACTGGTTCACCTGAAACAGGGGAACAGGCACACCGCAGAGAGAGAGGTCAGGTCACACGCTGAGAAATACTACACTACAGGAATTAAGTGAAACAAACACATCAGCATGAAGGAGGCACAGCAATGAGAGAATGATTTCCAGCATCACAAAGTGGAGTACATTTATGTGGGCCCCACCAAATTTTGTTTAATATGCTCACAGCGGCCTCTTAAAAGGGAAAGTACATTTCCTGCCTCCTTTTAACAGATAAAACAGATTTTAACAGATTGAATTTTAACGGAGTAGGTTGTGTGATCTTTTTGTTATTTCATGGAGTTTTTTTTTCCCTGAAGTCATCTTTGTTTATATTTAGTACTTTCTGACTCATGTCTTTATTTGCAGTGCAATAGAGACTCCTGAGTACAAAGTACAAAAAATGAAAATGAAAATAATACCCACACACATGCACAGTATGTATTGTACCCCGAAAATGTATTTTTTTTTATCTCCAACCTAAGATTAATGTTTTTCTCTACTTGAAATATTCATCTGGAACTGACGTTTTTTTTCCTACCTTGCGTTTTTCAAAATCTTGAATGGGCTTTTGTTATTTATTTAGGTCATAAAGACAGTAAATGATCATGAGGAAGTACTGTATGCTATGATGAAGTGCACAATTGATTTCTTTCCCTTCTTCTCTTTATTCCATGACTTCTCTTCTCCGTGATTTTATTAGCTTAAAAGGATTCTTAACATGGGAAAACTTTACTGCAGGATAAATATTGGAGTGACGTGGTGTAGACACTGCAAAGAACACATACATGGGAAAACTGAATTATGTAAAATTTTGGAAGTTCAAGTTAGCTAGTTTCAGGATTGTAACAAATCTGTGTGCAGGCAGTACCTGCATTTGGTCTCGTGCAAAAGACTGTGCATTTAGAGTACATTAAATGGGATTTTTTATATTCAGTCAGGTAAAATGGTACGATTTTCCTTTAAGAATTCAGATTTTTTCTTGGGTCATAGTGCCATCTAGTGAAAGTACACTGCAAAAGTCCAACACTTTGTGGAAAGAGCACAAAGAAGAGCAATAAAAAAGTATTTTTTGTATCTGGTCTCACAGGATTATCATATAATATCCAGACAGGTTAAATGTAGTTAAATCTCTTCATTCTCTAGAACATAGGAGGCTGAGAGGAGTTTGGGGGGAGTTGATAGGATTAACAAAGGGGATCTTGGTAATGAAACAATTACACAGGGCCACAGCTGGAAAGTAAGGGAATTTATTTAGGATGGAGAATAGGAAATGCTTCTTTTCAAAAAGTGCTGGGGGTATTTAGGACATGTTCCCACTCAGGTGGCTGAGGCCCTGATTCTGGGCTTTTTAAGAAATGGCTGCATGAAATTTTAGATTCACTTACTTAATATACCAAATAAGTAAACAGGTTAATTGTTTTGTCTCATTTTTGGTTTTGTGTCATTTTGTATGATAACATGGTCAATCAGTATTTTCACTTCATTTCACCAAAAAGCAGATCAGTTTAAGACAAGGTGACAGTTTGGGTGTGGCATGTCACTACTAGCTGGGATCTCTTCGATTGTATATTGTTATGTACTACAGGAAAAGAAGCCACACAAACATTTTACTAATATTCATTAGGTGCGGCACAGGATTAATCTTTCAACTCACTTTCCAAACCAGCCAAATAAAGTCTAATTCCTTCTCTGGAGCCTTGTGGGGTTTTTTTCAAGCTGCCGAACCTGATGAGTTTCAGAACATTCTGTAATCTCTAAAATTTCCTTCAGTAGCAAAACCAAAAGATTCAGGTCTTTCCCAAACCAGATGACATAAGGCTGTGCTTGCCATGCCCATTCATAGGTTGAGAAACAAGTTAATTGTTCACAGCCGAGTCTCATTCCTCTGCTCATCAATGTGTCCTTTTTTCATTTTTTAAGCAGCGGGCAGAGGAAACGTTATATTTCAGCAGACCAGGTTATAATGGATAGAGTCCTCTCAAACTAAAATAGACTCCCCCCTGATGCCGATGGAAACTTCAGGGTCATCTTGGGAAGAGAAAGAATGCCCTGTGCTCTCTGCAGGGCTTGAAATTATTAAACTGTTCACCGTGGAAGAGTGCTTATATGTTCATGTTACCTTCTGAATCCAGGGACCCAGATGAGGGGAGCACTCATAGAAGCAGGTGTCCTGAATGAAGTGTCTCTTGCAGGAGCTCGACATGATGCCGCAGTGGTTCCAGTTGAAGTTGTAGAGGTACGAGTTGTCTTCGTGTGCCTCCTCAGTGGTGTTTGCTGTGCAGCAGGCGTTGCTCTTCCACGGCTTACACTGAGCAGCACAGCAAGTGGAGGATTAGACAGTGATCACAGCGCAGGGGTCATATACATATGTCTTGAACTCTATGGGCGGCATTTAGCTGCTCTAGATTTTCCAGCTCCAGACATTTTCCTTAACACTGTTTACTAAAATGGAAAAAAAAAAGCACAGACCAGATATCCTAACAGTTGCCTAGGTTTTAGTAATTAAAGATTACTGCTTCAAGGAATGTTAGACATCGATCCTTAACTTTTCCTTGGCACACTTTTTTATATAATCTATGATTCTGTATGTTTAGAATGACTTCTCTCGTTGTTACAAACGTAGTAGAAATTATAATTATAAGTCCTCCCCAATTTTTTAAATACTATTTTCTGTTTGAAGTTGCTGATTCAAAATATGTTAGTTTTTCTGTGCAATTGTTTCTAAACTATGAGGTATTTGCCAGGCTGTGCTCAGGAAGATGTTTGTATATTAGTTGGCTCATATGAAGAAATGTTCTTGCATATGATGCTTGTAAGGTAGAAAAATAGCTGTAATACTGTATATTCGTGATGGGTCAGCTGTGGCTTTCTTCAGCTCACTGGGCCAACTCAAGGTGCCCAGTGATAGTGTGTGATGGCTGAAAAGCTGGTTAATTCAGCTCCTCTTCCTACCTGCTGAAAAAGTTTGCCCTCAGCTCCAGGAGTTTTTTTATGATGTTTGCCATCCATGCACTTGTTTAAAATATCCTCAGACACCGCCACAGAAACCAGGGCCAACAGCAAGGTCACACCCAGCATTTCTCTAAAGGAAAAAAAACTGATAAATTATGTTTGGAGGAAAAAGTTCTCCATGAAACTTAACTAAGATTTTCCTCCAGCTTCTCTCATTTATAATTTCAGGCAACAGAAAGTAACTCACACCCAGCTAAGCAAAGTGGGCTGATGCTGTCCAAAGTGACATCTATATCTTGGCATTTTTCTTAAGTGATATGAACAAGACAACAGCAGTACTTCACTCAGATTTTGAATCCATGACTTCTCTGCACTGCCGAATCTTAAAACACTTTTACTCCTGTACAAAAGCGACAGCACTTTCCTAACAGTGACAAAATTCCAATTGTTTTTTTCAAAACTACACTACAGATAAATGAAAGCAAGCATTTACAGTATGTGAATTTTGTTTCGTATTTTCACATTTTCCCATGTGAAATTCCTAATTTAAAACTTTCAGAATTAGAAAAAAAGGTTACAAATTAAATACTGGAACTCAAACATTGAAAATCACCCTGTAAATATTGTGATACCAGACTGCAGTATATCTGAGAAATATAGTTCTGGAATTCTTTGAGAATAATGTGAAATCTACAGTATAAGATAGCATACAGTACAATAAGATATTTACATTTAATTTCATAAACTAATACATGAACAAAATAATTTTAACACTTTGGCACAACACTCCTTATTTAGATTATGAATAATACATGGATGATTAGTTTAAACTCTCTTCACTTTTAAGTCTGGTTGGGAGGCTGGGACTTTTCAATGTAAGGCAATCAAGTATGCCATTAAAACTACTGTGATAAAGTTGCAGTGAGGTACCTTTAAGTCATGATCACAAGTTTCAAACGTATTTCCAAAAAATTAAATGTTTTATATATAGTTTTTATATGTAACATTTATGGAAACTTTACATATATGCTCAGAACAGTAACACTCTATTTCACGTTTTGCAGTCTGAATTTTGGCTTCTGAAATAATATAATTACCAAATAAAACCTAATAATTATCTCAAATACCATACTGTGCTGTTCTATATAAGCATTGAAATGCTACATATGGAATACATATGAAATATGAAAAGTACAAAACCCCATGAAGTCATAAGACAATAAAGACTAACATCCCACTCTCTGTTTTCAGTCTACTTGGCCTGGTGAGAGTAAAGACTGACATGTTATTTAAAAAAATAAGGAAAATAAAATGATCAAGACCTTCTTAAGTACATCCTGGATTAAAACTGAACCGCCTTCGAAGCTTCACTCTCCTCTGATGTTCTGGATTAAATAAACTTTACACACCACGGACAATTTATATCTGTTCTCAGGCTATAGCTTAACTCAAATGGAAGGTTTCTGATTGGCTTCAGACAGTAGAGGACAGTCCCTAAACGGTGCAATAACAGAGAGAAAGTCTGTGTTCCTGATTTCCATTAGTACTATTTAGGAATGCGAAGATAACAGTTTATGATTACTTTGCACAATCACAGGACAAAGTCTGAGAATTTACTAGAAAAAGTATGCAAGGTCTCTTCTCCACAGAGTGAAAGTTTTACCTTGAAGCCGTGTGCTCACAATGAGATTCCAGGCTGCTTTCTCATTCAACAAAGTATTCTTCCACCTCCTTTGGCTAAAACAAAATAAAACTTGCCTTGAGAATAAGATTTTGATGAAACATCAGACTCGCTCTTGAAAACATTTTTTTGAAAAGCACAAGAACAAAGTATTTATTTTCACAAACAAGACATTTGAGATGAATAATGCAACGTTTTGTGAATGTAGAAAAATGTCAAAAAATTAATAAAAGAGAAATGAAACTCCTACAAATTTCTACTAACATTAATCACAAAAAGAGCGTTCCCCAGAAGTGAATGAACAACTGCTCCGTGAGTAAAACTCCCTCAACGTTTAATATTTTTATTAAAAAAAAGTTCTAACCTACAGTGGAAGGAGACATACAACAGAGGACTGAGTTTCTTAAACAAAAAACTTTAAACGTTGCAATGCATAAATCTAAAGGCAGCTGGTACTTTGGTTAATTATAAAAAAGGAATGGCCAATTACATAAACAAGACAGTGTGACCCAGGCAGGGCAATGGATTACTCATTAGTTGTAAGAAAAAGCTAAAAATAACTAAATGCAGCAATTAACTCAGTAACCATTCTGAAGTCGAAGAGTTTATATACAAGATTCATCCATTACATTTTCTGTATATTTTAATATATTACTTTTACTTGCGCTTATTTAATCTGTGTAGTTGACAAAATTATTTTTATTGTGTGCTCAAACCCTTCTTAAATTGTACTGTTGAATAAGGCTGCTTTTACAGCTGAAAAGAAGTTACCTCAGTCGAGAGACATCAGACTTTCTTCTGGTAAATGTAGAAGTGCAAATTTAGGGAAGCTGCTCAGGCTGTGCTATGGGTGTTCGTCAGCAGACAGAGAGAAGTGGTAAATCAGTGTGAAGTGAGAAGTGATTATCTCACCGCATAATTAAAAAAATGTGAGCAAATTATTTGGTGAGGGTGTTAACTCGGATTTTAACGTATTGTTACATTGGAGTTGGAGTCTGCCTCTGTAATGTTTGTCTTCTGAAATAAAAACACAAGGATTTAAAATACTTGAACTGAAGGCCCAGGATTCTTAGGTCTACATGAAATGATTCAAGAGTTCTCTGCACCATTCTTATTTAATTGAAGTCTCACAGCTTATCTGTGCCTTGAGTAAATTAGTTGGCAATTTTGCTAATCTTCAATTTTCCTGAAAGGGAAATCATGGCTTAAGGTGAACATAAAAACCTTTTTAAGGTGAATTTTGGTTTTGGTTTGTTCTCAACATTGCAGATCTCTTCTGGTGTGTAAATCCGTGTTATATGTATGATTCTTTTAATTTCTTGTTGCGGGAATTCTTCATCAGAGGAGCAAGACACAGTCTTGTGCAGATTCAGTTTTATTGAGCTCAATAAGTCCAACAACGCGCGCCGGGTCGGCCCCACAGAACAGACAAACTGCAAGGGTATCCCAGCTCTCATATACAGTCAGAAGAAAGTTTGTTTCACAATCTGAGTGCTTGTCCTGTTCTTTGATTTGTAATTACCTCTTGTTCTACTCTGTCTTGCTCTAGGTTCTGTCCTTTGATATGCAGCAGACATTGGTCTGCTTTGTCCTGTTTGTGGGTGTTGTTCCTGTCTTTTATTATGTAGCGTTAAGCCACTGGGGCTGCTAAAGCAAGTCAGCTTTATGGCATCTTAGTGTAACCTTTGTTTGAGGCTAAATTAACGGACCCCATCAACACCTCTCACAATGTGCTTAAGTGGTGATACTGTGAAGCTGGATAATATATATACATGTCCCACTTCACACTAATTAATTTAATTCCTTACACTTATATATCACTGTTCTGTACACTTCTATTAAACCACTGTTTGCATCAGATACCCACCACAGACCAGCTATCAGTGGGAAGGAGAACAAAGTAATGAAGCCAGTTCATAGATGGGGGTTATTAGGATTGGTAAAGGCTAGGGGGAGATTTGGCCAAGTGACCAAGGCTACAAAATCCTTGGGATTTTTAAATACCACTGAGAGTCAGTTCCTCAGTCTTACATCTCATCCAAAAGACAGTGCCTTTATACAAAATAGTATGGTGTCCCCATCATTATACTGGGGAATTAGGACCCACACAGACCACAGGGTGAGCACCTTCCAGGAGCAACCTTAGTTTTTCCCAGGAGGTCTCCGAAGCAGGTACTGACCAGGCTCACACCTGCTTAGCTTCAGTGGGTTGGCAGTTGTGAGCTGCAGGTGATATTTTTTGTTGTTTTTTGTTGTTTTGCGGTTTTTTTCCCTTTTGTTGGATTTGCTTGGTTCCCCTTGTTCAACAGAACGTGTTTTAAGTGTGTTATTCTTCATGTCCAATGCTCATTTCTGTTCATTGACTTTGCAAAATGTCCTGTGTTGAGTAAAGCTGAGATAAAAAAACAACAACTATTTTCTCTGGTAAACATTGCAAACCCACAGTCCTCTTCAGACTTTTCTCTACATTATTTCAATTTTTTTGGTATAGCAGGGGGTGACAAGAAATACAACATGCAATTTCCCTGTATTTACTTCACATCTGTAGCTGTTTTCAAGTCAGAAGAGAGGAGACAGGCTTAAATTCTTCCCTTTGTCATTATGTTGACACACTCATCTTTTATCAAATGACTTTCATGTTACATTGCCATGAATGTGATAAATTTTTATGGTTCTCACAAGGACACTTTATGACATAATTGTGAAATAAACTCCATATCAAAAAGAAATATCTGCTATAACAATTGCACTTAGCAAAAAAAGTCGTGATGTCAGATTTAAGGGATATGCAGAGCGCAGCGCGATTTATACTTTGAAGCAGAAAAAAATACAGAAACAGTTCTCAGCTCTGCTTTGCAGTATCAAATAGTGTCACTGTGTATCTGCTTATAGGGCATTTTATCCGATAAAATTTGATCTGCCTTTTTATCAAAAATATGCCACACAGATTCTACTGGCTTCCAATTTTTAACACCTTCGGTCCTATAACATGTGGACCACTCAAGCCCTTAAATGCTTAGTCGGAATAGAGAGAGGCATCTGTTTTTTTTTTTAAATAACAACAGTAGAGTAGCCAATCAGATTACAGTCCCGACAGGAAAACCCAATGGCTCTATCCTCTGAGTCACCATTACACTTCAGCTGTAACACCAGAAATATACAGCATAACACTGAGGACATGGCTTAACCAGAATTATAACATCTGACGGCAAACGTAGTCAATCAAATAGACTTATGAAGCATACGTCTACGTTGATTTGTATAGAACATGGCTTTACAGTCGTTTTACTTGACTGCTGTAATTTAAGTAAACTTTTTATGAGCTGTGTTTTGCATTCATTTTACATTGAATTTGGTTATAAAAATGTTATTTCACAGTGTTGTGACAATGTGTCCATTAATCAACAAATCAACATTACGTGAAAGTAATTTATTTTTGGAGAACGCAGGCGTCACATGGAACTATTACGACAGTAGCTCGGAGAGAGAGGACGTTCATAACGTGAACACCTATTTCCGGTTCTCTTGTAGTTCTTGTTCGAATTTAAAAATCCTAACGTCTTGATTTGTTCCTGAGGTAAGGTTCTACATCTTAACAAAGAGTTAAAATAAACCGTTTTTGATGTCACCGATAAGGAAAGTGTAAAATTAATTACGGATGTTTGTTCTAAAACTAAGCTAATGTTTTTTAAAGAAAATGCTGGCGACAGTGCTGTATGGAAGTTTCCCAATTATTTTCCTATTTGATCCATCCACGAGAGTAATTACATCTGTGACTTAGCGTTGTTTCGAAATTGTGTAAATCATTTGGACGTTTAAAGAGCAATCTGAAAACGTTGTGATTCAGTTAAGATCACAGCCGTAAATGCATACCAAGGCCAAAGTAAAAATGCTTTGATATTCCAGAGTATTTTGTTGTATTTCTGGTGGTCCTTTCTGCATTTAAGACCAGCAGGTGATGTTCGTGTTGTTGAGGTTTTATGAAGATGGATCATACTAACTGACGATAGTAAAGATGTTTATCCACATAACTAATGACAGTAAACGCATTTAGAATTATGGTTTATGTTTATAAATGCTAGAACAGTACTGAATATGTCTTTGTCTTTCTAATTAAAGGATATACGTGTAATATTATTTTTAAAGAATATTTAAGGGCATCATCGCTAATTGTCCATTTAAAATAAACCCCACGATGAAGGTATCACGAAGGAGAACTAGTGTTTTCTTTCTTAATAGAGGATTTAAACTCTCACTGACTCCTGTAGGATGTCCACGCTGTTCCCTTCCCTTTTCCCCCGGATGACCGAGTCACTATGGTTTAACCTGGACCGACCTTGTGTGGATGAAAATGAGCTTCAACAACAAGAGCAGCAACACCAGACCTGGGTGTGTAGAGGACGACAGGAACAAACACAGCTTGATTTCCTCCCATCTTTTTCATTTTATTGTCGTGGCATGTCTTTTAACATCTTTTAAAACTTTTATAACAAATATAAAGTCACAACGTCGTACACTCTGGGGGGGGATGCATTATATATAACAAAAGACAAACACGGCAATAAAGTTAAGTTAACCTTTGGACAATTGCAAGGTTTTTGTACGCTTTTATTGTTAGTCAATTCTGTTGAATTGTTTGTTCCTACACCTGCATTGAATGTTATGAAAATGTTTCAACCTTTAACTGTATTATATTATCGTATTACGTTAGTTGCCATCCTCTCCAGCAAACAAGGTGATTTGCAAAATAATGTGTTATGGGTTTTATTTTCTAGGTGGGATGCATATGTTTTCTTTATTCGAGTTAAAGATTTTTTAGGTTTTTTTTTAATATTTTGCTGTGTAATTCTAATTAAATTGTATCTTCCTGCAGTTGCAAAGCATTGCTGAAAAAGATAACAATCTGATGCCAATAGGGAAGCCTGTTTCTGAGGTAAGATGTATGTACCGCAATATACTTTGCTTGAAAATAAGATGTTTGAGTCAGTGTTTATGAGCTGCAGAGAAAATGTGGTTAATCACAAACTTAAAAGTAAAAAGAAGAAACTTAATATTTCAACTGTTGAGCTCTCTACAAGTCTAGATGTCATGAAGGGTCAGATGTTGAGCCAATCTGATCCTCATATTTAAGACCGGGGAACATGTTAGTGTTTCCACCTTAAAATGTTTTTGGAGTTGCATATAGGCATTTGAAAGTACCACTAAGGATAAACAACAGCAAAATACCTGTGATGGTTTTAGTATATAACAAGTAATTCTGAACTATAGTTGTGTTTTTGCTTGACTTTGTGAATCGGTTATTGGAATATGTTAACATCTCAAAAATCAAAGCTTCATTTTATGCTTTTATCTATCGCATGTATTTTGGCAGAAATTTAGAATTGTCTTATCCAATTTAAATAGCAGGTCATTTAATGACATTTTGAGATTAAATGCATGTGATTCTGATGCTGAAAACACTGTTGGTATAGGCCTGCTCTAATCAGTGATCATGTTGGAAGAATTGCAGTTGTTTATGAATATCGTTTTTAATTTGTCATATTAGGTCAGGATTAGTGAATTCTGTCACAATGATAATACAGTAGGCTGTGTCAAATAATGTACTTAACGAAGTCACTGCCATAAAAGCTGTACATCACAACAGTAGCCATATATTGTAGATCTGATAACTGGAATGAAAACAACCACGGGCAGCAGGAAAACAGATAAATATGCCACTGGAGGGTAATGGGTAGGAGGAACGGATTTAAGTATAGGCATGGCTTTATGACACTGTTGCATGGTTTCTTTCTGCAGACGTATGACGATGAGGATGAGGAGGATGATGAGGATGAGGAAGATAGTGAGGAGGACTCAGAAGACGATGAGGACATGCAGGACATAGATGAGATGAATGACTATAATGAGTCTCCCGATGACGGAGAGATCAATGAGGTGAGAGGCCTGGCTCGATGTACACACACCGGACCCAAGTATCCATACAATTCTCTGTGCCCTGGCTGGAAAATGCTGGGAGGGGGTCCTCATGGGAAAGCAATAAAGTTCTGCCTAGGCTATGCCAAAACTCCCCCCCCCAAAAAAAATGTTGTTTGAATCGTTTCAAAGGGTGCTGATCTCCTGCCAGTGTTGATGACCAGGGAGCTCCCTCTCAAACTGTTTTTTCTTAAATTTAGAAATGATAATTATATTTGTTCTGCCCACCTGAGTGGGAGATTTTGCACATCTCACTTCCTAGCTCTTTTGACCCCTTACAGATGATGGCAAAGAATAAATCACCCTTACACTTCCATACTGCTTTTCTGGACACTCCACTTATAAAGCTAATCAGCTATCGGTTGGAAGGAGACCAAAGAAATTAAGCCAGTTCATAGAAGGTGATTATTAGGAGGCCTCGATTGGTAAAGGCTAAGGGAGAAATTTGGCTAAAACACCAGGGTTAGCACCCCTACTTTCTGAGAAATGTTCTGGGATTTTTAATGACCACGGAGTCAGGGCCTTGGTTTAACGTCTCATCTGAAGGACGGAGTCTTTTTTACAGTATAGTATTGTGTTCCCATCACTATACTGGGGCATTAGGACCCATACAGACCACAGAATAAACACCCCCTACTGGTCCCACTAATACCTCTTCCAGAAGCAATCTTAGCTTTCCCACGAGGTCTGCCATCTAAGTACTGACCAGGGACACAGCTGCTGAACGTCAGTGAGTTTCGAGCCCCTGGTCTTTAATCATATCGCAGCACAGCCTCATATTGGAGGCTCAGCGCCGAATGGAAGAGGGGTATATCTGTCACTGACTGCACCATGTCCGCAAGGATCTGAAAGGCCCAAGGGCCATTTTAATCTGGGTGCCTCATGGATAAGATGATTCGTTTTTTTCCCTGCTTTCTGTCTTATCCAGGTGGATATGGAAGGTGCTGACCAAGACCAAGATCAGTGGATGATCTAGAACATCTGCATTTTAACCTGTTTTTTGCACAGGACTTTGTCTTCAGATGTGATGGATTACAAAGTCTGGAAAGTACAGGCTGCTGTTCAGTTCCTTGATACAGATTGGAAAACTGCTTCAGGCCACAGGGTTTTCCATTTTGTTTTTAAACAGTGTGCCACTTTTCAGTGGAGAATTAGGCAAATTATTTTGTCTAATATACAATTCATGTCTGGTATGTCAATATCTAGAGGACATACGTTTTAGGTTTTGTGATATTGTGTGCCACTTTGGTAGAATCAGAATAGCTCTGGTAAGTGTTTCTGTATATATTTTTAAATGCTACGTCAGTTGTCAGCCAGTGGCCGATGGCTTATTACTGCTGCTTCTGAGTCTAGTTTAGACTCGGCATGTGAGCCGAGGAAGAGTAAAGGGCACTGCAGAAAACACTCTGACCTTCCAAAACTGATTGCATTTCCTGTGTTTGGTCTACATGAATAGGTGCTAAAATGTCAAGGACTCATTAGCGATGCTACAGTGAAGTTCATTCAGTGTATACCTTCTTCAGAATTGCACCAAAGTTAAGGTGTGTCAGTACCTCATTCTAATTCTGTAACTACTGGGTAACATGTAATAAACTGTTCTAAATTAAATCAGAAATAATATAAAGCACCATTATAAAATAGTGACCTATTTTATACAATGCCAAGGGATTATAGGATAAAAGAGCATTGATTGTAGTTTATGCCCTTCAGAAAGAATACATTTTAATTATATGCTGTTTGAGAGACTTTATCAAACCACTTGCATTGCTCTACATCAGGGTAGCAGAGCAGCTATAAAGGAAATAATATTCAAAAAGTGTATAGTTTCTTCTTGATGCCTTGAAATTTATTTTTTATGATGAAATACAGCAAAGAAAAGAAAATATCCCACTTAATTTGGGGAATGGTAAGCAACTGTCAGCCTTTATGTGTGAAGGGATCATGTCTTTATTTTATTTAATAATGGAGTAGTTCAACCGACTCCTGTATAAGGGTGTCTTTTCAAAGCTACCAAGACAAAGAGAATAGGAGTTGTCCAAAGAAACAGGAACAACATATCATCTTATGTCAATGTCAACAGTTTTCCAGCTGTTGAAGTGCTTGATGTTGAAGATTGTTTTGCTAACCAGTGATATTGATAATTAATAATTGATAATTGATAAGTAAGTAATCTTATCTGCTGTATATTATACCTTGGTGCATTTTATTATTTATAAGGTTCTGCAAATCTATGAAAAAGGTTATTACCGAGATCAACCTTATTGTCCCTGACATCTTTGCACATACTATTGCTTTTGTACAGGCAAACCTACATACATTTCACATGTAGTGCATGTTTCAGTTTCTGCTTGATTTAAACACATGTATGCATCTGTTATCTAAAAGCAACTTATCTTTGAGTGGGTCACAGAAAGTCACATCCTATCCCAGAAATGCAGGATACAAGGTGGAAATGAGAGAATTTGACTTTTCTAACATAAGTCCATCCCAGAGAGAGACAGGAAGCTACTATTTCATTGGCCAGCCATAGTATATTAAGTCTAATCTCAATAAGGAAGAAGGATGGGAGCTGAAACCAGACGGGAGAAAATCCACACAGACAGATGCCCGAGTCCAAACTTGAACCCAGGACCCTGGAACTGTGGAGCATCACTGTGATGCACACATATTTTCAAATAAATCCACCACTAGACAGTTCTCAGTCTCCAGTCCTACATGTTCACCTAATGGATTCCGTTGATGGATTAATCTGTGAAGTACAGGACAAGATTTTTGTTTCCTTTTCAAACAGTTAAAAAGATATATTTGCAGTCCTCTTACAATGAACTTCTGAACTTCCTTTTTAATGATCACATGTCTGGTTCTCGTTTTCTTGTCCAAGATAAAAAAGGCTAATGGAGAAGACGTCCCTTCACGCAAAACTCTAATTTGAAATAGAATTACATGACTAAAAAGGTTTCATTCTGGCTTCAAAATATGTCCCATAAATAAAATGGGGAAAAAAGACATTAAACCATGAAATGTAGTTCTTTTATAAAAGTTTATAAATGTTGAGGTTAATACAGTTACAAACACGAAAAACAACGAAAAGAAACATAGGCTTACTGTTTCCATAAATGACTTTGACATTGCTCAAATATATTGTTTCATATTGTGGTTTAAAAGAATGCTAACGTTTTTAAATGGTTAGGGAAGGTTTTGTGAGTACTATTAAAGTAAGTAGCGTCACCAGACTACATTGAAACGAGATCCAGTGAACAGAAGACATGACAAAGGTGGTCTTCAATTGAAACTAAATGTGTTTCAATGTAGTCTGTTGACATTACTTCTAGGACATCTGTACGAAGTTCTTCAATGATGCAGTTGAGAGATAACTACAAAGTGGCCGAAGCAGACAATCTAGTTTTTTTTCTCGTTGTGTACCACTTAGAGAAAGTTGTAGGTTTTAAACTTGTCCACTGTTTAGATATTTTATATAATTTCAGCCCGACTAAATTTCATTGAAGTTTTAAAACTTCAATGTTAAGTTACTCCTCTTCCCTGTGGGTGACGCTGTCACTTAGCTCCAATGTAGGTGAGCTCTGCCATGCCGTCCCGGATTCCGGGGATGTACTCCAGGGTGGCGCGGTGAATGCGATACTCGTAGAGCCCGCTTCGCTTGACGTAGCGCAGGAAATGCGGCGCCCCCGGGAAGATCACATTGTCGGCCAAGATAACGCTCCCTGCTCCGAGCAGGCCGCTCCCTTCCAGGAGCTGCAGGTCAGGCAGGTAGCAGCGCTTCCAGTGGTCCATGAACACGAAGTCCAGCCGCTCTATGCCAAAGTCCTCCCGCAGTTTAGGGATCACTTGATCTGAAGGGCCTATAATCAGCTCCACCTGAAAGGCAAGGAAAATAGTCTTCGTGGTCCGTGACTGTCACTCGAGTCAGGACAGCCTCCAGCTTTGACAGTAACTCTAACGTACAGTACAGTACGTGCCAGTTCTGTGTTCTGTAAGTTATCGATGCAACACGGTATATTATTTGGGACATTGATTCCTATAAATCCGGTGTCCAATAATGTCCAAGAACTGGTTTTCCCCCGAAAACTGCACCCAGTAGAGAAGTGTCCCAAGAAAGCAACAATGTGTGAAGAACTGATCTATCCAATATGTTCAGAAACCAAGAGTGAACTGAGTTAGTGTACGCTGGCTGAATACTTTCACCAGTTCAAAAGTGTAAAACGGTCGAAACTGAATCTTTTCTTTCCGTAGTATAGAATTCACCTTTACTCGTTTCAATGTCAGGGCGAAATGGTTTGAAAGGTGTTGTTTTCGTTGTAAAAATCATCACGTAGCAGTACTTATACATTATAACTTGTTATATGTTTTTTGCTGATTTTATCCTTGGTAAATCAATAAACAAGGACTCTTACTGTGTCGTCATCAAAGCCGGCCAATCGGATGACCTTCTCGGCCACAGCGGCGTTGCGCTCGTCCATCTCTACTGTGTAGAGTCGGGCACCGAGAGGCAGCGAGCGGGCGATGCGCACGGCTCCGTACCCGCAGTGTGTGCCCAGCTCCAGCACAATCAGAGGGGCATTTTCTAATATCAGCCTGTCCAGGAGTCTGCCTGTAATCACAGGATTTACGAACCACACAGATGGGAACAATCAAAGAAGTCATCTTTGTATGCGATTAGTGTACCAATTTATTACTACGATATAATATAACAACAGTATATTTTTCTTGCTGATTCTCTGTACTATTTTTTTCATTATAAGACTAATCTACCCATAATTCTGTGAACTTACCCCTTTCTACGTGCGAAGATAAATGTTATGTGAATTTCGTAGAACGTTTTAATGCGCATTTTATAACTATCCAGATAGTATAACAGAAGTTGCAAATGCGAAAAAAATATGTCTGTATTTCAAATCTATTTTAATCTGTATTTTCAGTCTTATTGACCAATATCAGTAACAACAGAGAGTTTGTAAAAAGTCGTTATCTCAAATGCGATGCGAGAAAAATAGTCAACAATTATCCCCTGACCCGTGCAGCCTACGTACAGTACCAGGAAGAAAACACCATGCACAGTTAAAGGGGGGTTGTATGTAGTAATAGACACCTTTCTTGGGTCCTATGTTGCTGATGTACTCCACCTTCCTACACCAGTGATCGAAAGCCTCGAGGATGCTGTCTGGGTCTCCCGGAGTGACGTGCGTGAGCACATACTGGAACGCCCGCTCCTCCCTGGACAGGCCGCTCAGGCAGTCCTGTATGAAGCGCACCAACACCGCCCGGTAGAACAGCACGAAGTAGTAGCGGTAGCGGATCACCAGCGTCAACAGAAAAGGTAGGAACGCCAGTGCGATCGCTGGGGACACCATGATAGAGGCTGACCTAAAATAATCACAAAACAAATTTGAGATACAAGTCCCAGTTGGCTGTAGGGGTCTTTTTTTCTTTTCAGCACCCCCAAAGGTTCATAAAACCCGTACCCACAAGCGCTATTCAAATGTTTCGTCAGCCAGAGCCACGTTCTTTTGACTGAGGATTTATCGCATTTCTGAGGGAGTCATGCCTTACAAGAATAGATAAAAAAAAACAACAGATGCACCACTATCGATTTATACACCTTAAAAATAATACCATACATTGTACTTGTGGTCTACAGTATACACCACAGAAACATACATTTGTTGATTTTGTACAGAGCCTCAAAAGAAGCTTCAAGCAAACCAGTAGCACCTTACATTTATGTACTCAGTTTCATCACAGCTAGATGTTGCAGGTCTTTTATCCCAGGTCAGTTTGTCATACAATCCTGAGAGTGTGGGAACAGTTCCCCTCACAGCGATGCTTAGTGCAGAGCATGTGAACTAATCACAGTAAAGACCCCAGACCACAAACAGCGGAAGCACACTTGAATATCAGAACACTGGTAATGCAGTTCAGACCAACCTGTTTCGAGAAGATATTGGATGAAGACTCTAGGGCTGGGGGAAACGCAGCTCTGTGTTGAGCTTCGGGCCTTAAATGCAAGACAGGTAAAATTGGCCGAGTCACCGCTGTTAAGAGGAGGTGTGTGAATTATTGATGCGACCCCAAGCTGATCCAGTAATTCGCAGAGAGAAAGAGGTGCGGGATCCTCAAGGATAGGGTTACCTGCCCCGCTTATCGCAGCAACACGTCGACAGGAATTCTCCAGAACGCATCACAAGTTCACCCCCGGGAGGCTTGGTAATGTGACCTTTGTTCAAAGATCACAAAGCCTTTGTTTCAAGCAATTTTTAATGGGAAAAAAACCCCTTTCTTAAAAAAAAACCAGGAAAATACAACATCCCCATCAATGTGTTTTTTGGTTTGAAGTCCTTCGATTTGATGGAGGTTTATTTTTGTTATACAACCATTTAGAAATTCTAAAACCTCGGCAATTACTGTACTGTCCACCAATTTACTATATTTGTGTTTGGACACTTGGATTTAGGTAACATTGATCTAAAAATGTTACTGGGTATTGTAAAGGGTGGTACGATATTTGTTAGGCTTGAAAAAAATTGAAAAGTCATTTAATGTAGACTCAATTTAATGCCCCCTCCCACAACCACCACCTACATATGAAATATTTTCCATTTCATTTACAGTAATAAAACAACATGCAACAAAAAACACAACAATCATAGGAAAAGCTATTGCTTAACAATGCTGATGTTTATTTATTATTTTGTAAAAATGCTTTCTGAAAATGACACAACGTATGCACCAATGCTGTCATTTATATAAATAATTCAATGTTTTCTGATATAGTAATTAAATTGTTAATGGCTAGTTACATACAACACCTTCAGTTAAATTCCCCATTGTATTGCCCTTAAGAGACCCAAAGGTACATGGCTGATGCAGAAAAGCATTTTTAAACATTGGAATCTCTTTCCTGAGTGAGGGAAACGTTTTCCATATTTGATATTAAAGGTATTTAATGTAACCAGACCTTTGTCATTTATACTGTGGTGTTTCTGTACCCCTGAGAACTTTTCTGTTATACTGGACAGGGAGGTTATATCTTCTATTAATATTCACCACCCCTATTTTCCCCATTAAATACACACGTAAAGATCCATCCACTCAGCAGCGGAGCTTCTGCAGTCCCCTGAGGAATTTCCTCAGCTCCTTGTCAGAGCTTTGCCACAGCAGCAGCTTGGAGAGAACCAGTCTACCTCTCTGTCTGCTCCCCAGGGCCAGAATGATGCCAGAGGAGGGACCATCCAGTTCCTCACAGGCGCACCTGCTGCCCTCTGGCAGCCAGAGGGCGCTCCGAGCCATCGACTCCTCCTCAGCGCGGTCACCTTGTCTCAGCACCACCCGGCTTCTGCCGTTAGGAACAATCTTCCGGTCAGCCCCCAGCAACTGTGTCTCTTTGACCCTTAGTCGCACGACTGTATAGAAATCCAGACAAATAAAGCAGAAAAGTGTAAATTTAATAGTCTTTATGTGGAAATGCAGGTAAAAATAAGGGTATTTTTTGAGATGGTAGCCTTACTCCTACATATTTTCTTTAAAAGCTGATATTTTAAATATCTGATATTGATATTGTTTAAATACAACTACCATCCAGTTGGATTTAAATTAGAATTTACTTTAAATCAGTGTTTTCTGAAGCAATCGGCATGTTTATATGCTGGGTGGATTGATTTAATCTCACGAATTAAACACAAATATAACATACCAGGAGCACATAGAATTCAAACACATGTACCATACGAGGAGCGTACAACATTTGGATTAGGAAAGGTACTCCAGCACATGCTCTGATCATCCACTTTTTATTGAACTCACCAAAATCGCTTTTGCAGTAATTCTCCAGAATCTCTTTCCCACCTTCTGGCAAACTGCACGCCTCGCATATCAATGTCCCTGTGCGAAGGAAAAAGGAATCTTAATTTATTTTCAAGGAAAAATCTTTTTAGAAACATATTCGTAGTTGAGTCGTCTTTAAAACGTGCACATGAAAGAAAAGCAAAGATAGCAGCAACTCACCGGCAAACATTCGGAGGGTGGTAAGCATTTCAAGTGAACAACGTTTAAGCATTTTATTTCGAATTTGTGTTTCTATTTAGTGGTAGATTAATATCAGACAATGTTTCGAGGTTCCCACCTCTGCCTCATAGAAAGTAGATGTCATGTTACGGGGAAGAAAATTGTTATAGACAGTATTAACTACTCTGCCATCAAACACGAGCAGCCGAGAAGTGGCACAACCATTGAAGTCTAATGCAAAACATCTTAACAACCACGTATCGTTTTGCGCGTTTCATAACACGCTCCCTAGAATCGGATCTCTTGCTTTCAACTTTAAATTTATGCGCTTTCAGATTTTTTGTTAAATCAATAATAATACATTGATTTTTATATGGCGCCTCCAAAGGTAAATTCGCAAAGCGCGCTGTGTCTTTTCGATGACAGACTTTTAAAAATAGTATTTGAAACCAACACAATCAATGACAGGTGAATTCCAACAAACCGTCCATATCGTTGCTGTGGGGCCCCGGGTTGCCGTTGTCGCTGGACGGAGAAGCCGTGGGCGGGATGCAGACCTCGGCGCCGGTCGGGAACTGGCTGCAGTTGAGGATCTCAGGCCAGGGAAACCCGAAAGCGCTCATGACAGGCAGGCAGCCGTCCCGGACTCCCTCGCACAGGCTCCTGCACGGCCGGACGGGCCGCTCCAGCTCTCGTAAACAGACGGGGGCGAAGAGGGAACAGAGGAACTTCTTGGTGTCGCGGTGACACTGTTTGGAGAGCAGCGGCACCCAGGAGCCGGCCTGCTGCTGCGCTTCCTTGATGGTTTCGTGGCCCAGCAGGTTGGGAAGGCGCATCTCTCTGTAGCCTACGTCGTGGCACAGACCCATCGTGTTAGGAATGGGTTTGCAGACCTGGCGCTTGGCGCTGAATCCAGTGGGGGCGAACTGTAGCGAAGGGTCAGCTGCACAGACGCGCCAGGATGTGAGCAGTATCCAAACTTGAAACGGAATGGATACCGCCATCATGACGTTCGTACTTTTGAGTACTAAAAAGCCTTTAAATCAGGTTTCTTAACCCCACAATCAGTCTTCGGTGTAGTTAATTGACGTTATTCACTTATTCAAACTGATGCTTAAGAGGCATTTCGGCATCCAGTCTCTTGTTTCAAGATTAAATATTGACATTCACCATACTTGCCAGAAAGATAAGCTGGGTTCTCCCTCCATTAGCTGCAAGTACGAATACGAGTCGCCAAGTACAGTCCCCCGTCTTCGCAGAGCTTGAGAAAGAGTGTTTCTCTGGTGTTCTGCTAGGAGATAAATGCCATGACTGATCTGTAATTCACCTAAATTAAAGAGGGAAATGGTCGAGACACATCCTGTCAAACTGGTTTTTAAACCAGGCATTGTGTAATGCCATCTGTAATACCATCCGGGAAATGTGTTTATTGAGGGTTATAAAATTGAGACCTGTTATTTAACTACAGTGCTTTGAGGACGTGTTGGAAGTGCCAGCTTTAGTAATTTACACTTATTTTCAAATTCTTTGCAATCAACATTTTTTTAGTTATGTTTAATTAAAACCATACGTAATAACAACAAAAACGGTACAAAACACAGCAACAAAGATGTCAGTAGTTGTACTATCACAATCTTCCCCCACTGTTATTCTTGCACGGAGCTGGCGGACAAGACGTTCAATTTTCAGTTCCTGTATCACGTGTTGAGGGTGTTTTGGTTTCTCCCAACTCCGCTTCACGTCAGCCGGAAGTCATATGTTATTGCTACAGAGCTGTTGTCATGTGACTACAAGCCTGGGGTTTGGAGAGGGGGGAAGATCGGAAGGAACAGAAGAGAAGGGGGTTGCTGGTTTTCGTCTTCCCAAGCCTGCACACCGGAATTTCTTTCTTTCTTTAATTAGTTTACCGGGAAGAAAAGCTGGAGATTGCATTCGGTTCGCCTGGCAGAGAGCCGAGAGCCCCCAGAGGATACCATGGGTTGCTGTTATAGCAGCGAGACGGAGGCCACTGATCAGGTGCTGTGATCTGTTCTAGTGAAGCAATGGTCGAGGTAGCAGTAACACGCATTCCTAATGTAACATAACCTGGGAGACTGAGAGAGGGAGTATGCGGGACTGGATTGACCCGAAGAGAACATCTCTATTCCTTTAGCTACCGTATAGAAAGAAAATGTTTGTACCAAAAATTGTGAAGACGTAGTGTGTTTAGTAGGGCCTAAAGGGCAAAAGTACTACACGGGCAAACATACTAGGGCTAGAACTTGGTAAAGATGGTTTTCTAAAGTACCCAAATGACAAGGCTACAGGAATGCAGGATTGCATGACCTGAAACGAAAGAATGTGCAGCATGAGATTTATTGATTTCTTATTTTTTTTCTCTAATTTTCAACCTTGGCAAAAAAAAAAAACAACAACAACAAACGAATCTGATTCAGCATGACAAAATAACCTCGTCTGTCACATGACTCTGGAACTTTGCAATAATGTGCAAATCACATGACAAACTGTCCCTTGCATGAAATATTTAGTCATGTGGGACAAAAAAAGTGACAGGCGGAACAATTTCAGAGTGCATGCACAATGAGCCAATTGGACACCAGCCTCTACTGTTCCTTTTCCTCAGTGATGTGTCAGGATGTTATTTGATCATGTCTTCTCAGAAAGATATTTGCTTATAGTATAACACTTTGCATTGTTTTTAGTTTTGCATTGTTAAAACTATGGCTTGGATTTTCATTGGTTAAGCATTTTTTATGGCCAAAATACTATAAGCGAATGCCACTATGCAAAAGTGATTTTGGATCCACCTGAGGATTTCATTTGAAACCCATAGCTCAGAGATTAGCTGGAACATGTATCTGGCTGTGCAGTGGGTTGATTTTGTTATTTTACATCCCCGGAGGCCTTTGACCAAATCCAATTAATTGTCCTGAAAGTTATTGAGTTAAGGAAGGTTTAGGAAGCTTCAGCCTAGACTTACATAGTTCACAAAACTCTCACACAACACTACACAATTTGTCACATTTTATACAGGGTACATATTCAAGCCAGGACTATAGTGATTCATTACCACATTTTTTTTTAAATGTAAAAACTCATGTATTGCTTAGCCGTTGTGTTCAGTTTGGCAGACATGGTGAAAATTGTATTTCTTGTCAAAGGTGTAGTTCACAGTGTACTTTTTAAAATATTGTACTGAGATATGGAATATTTTCATCACCTGATTTGCAAGGTATTTCTAAGCTTCAGTCCTGGCAGACAAATAACAGCCCAGGGTTTATATTTAGCAAGCAACCCATCATCTGCTTCTAAATTTGCGATTTTTAAATTGTCCAGCTAAGGCGCTCACTCCCGGTGTTCCCTGCTTGCGTTTGATGAAATGCACCATTGCTGCCTTTCAGGACCGAGATGAGAGGAAACCGCTGATCCCCCATCCCAACCCGGACAATAAACCAACCAACGGAGCAGAGAGGAATTCAGCCAGCCTTCCCTCTGCGCGGACAGATGAGCAGGCCCTCCTCACGTCCATCCTCACCAAGACAGCACTGTAAGTAGATGGTGGAATGGAAGCATCTTATCCACACAGTGAGACTGGCTGCTGTGTGGTAGTCTGAACACACTGAGGGGACAGGGAACTTAGAGGCTCATTCTTGTTTTGCTCTCCAGGAATATAATTGATGTCTCAGCTGCAGACTCCCAGGGAATGGAGCAGCATGAGTACATGGACAAAGCTCGACAATATAGGTAGGTTCAAACTTCCAACTCTCTACTATGTTGCTTGTTCTTAGGACATTTAAAAATATCTTTGCTTCCTTAAAACAAATTCCTGTTCTGGATGATAAACAGGTTCTGCCTGATGAAGTATTAAAGCTAGAATCTTTTGATACAGAATCATAAAAACATCTAAAATGTTTCCTGGAAAATGTATCTCTTCAAAAGTCCAGTGCTTGGTTTCTGTATAACATGATACCTGTCCTGAATTTGCCACTGTCTGTAGCCAGTGGAAGCCATGATCCAGCTAAACCCTGGACTCCAACTTACTCTCCAAAAAAATAAACCAAACTTAAAGTGTTACTGTGGATGATGGCTACCCATGAGTGCAAGACAAGCTCTTTTGAAGATGATATACAAATATTCACAGAAATACAGAGTACTTCAGTTACCATTCGGAGCAATAATTGGGTCCACTTATATTGTATCATTTACACAAGAGTAATAAAGCCCCTTACAATTTGTAGGCACTTAAATTTAATTACTCCGTTTGTTTAGAGGACATAGGTCATATGTCTGTTCATAAGGATTGTTTGGTTGAAAGCATATTGAGTATCTGTCTCTTGATTTATTTGTAACCATAGAGTTAAACTTTATTTACGTATTGCACTTAAGTGCACGATGGAGGGAAATTAACATTTCAGTAAACTCATTTGGCAGCCTTGTTCTGAATAGAATTTGGATTAAGGCCACTAACTGACACACTAAACAGATAACAGTAACTCCAGCTACTCCTTGAGCAGTTGACTTCAACTGAACTCCTCAGATGGCCTGAATATCAAATTTGTCATAGTCGAAATTTACTAATGGCCTTCTAGCTGTTAGAAATGCTTAGCTTGTGAAGATTATAGATGAGGTTTAGCATGATCTTCGTAATGGAATGCAAGCGACAGTCTTGTTAAAACGCCAATTAATCCAGTGATGTGCTGGATCGTTTTTTCTTTGAAAGAAGGTAATACGTTTTGTGGAAATTCTAATGATAACTTCTGCTGCTTATGTTTTAGTACAAGGCTGGTAGGCCTCAGTAACACACTGTCACAGAAGAAACCTGCACCTCTGCCCTCACTAACTAGCCAGCCCCATCAGGTGCTTGCAAGTGATCCTGTGCCATACTCGGACATACAACAGGTAAACAATCCTGCTTTTTATAGCTTGATAATATTCACAATCATTGCTAAATATGCCACAACCTGCCACTATATGTTAATATGTATATTAGGCCTTGTGCTTTCAGAGTAGGCTCCAGGTTGTTGCAAACCTTTCCAGAAATAAGTGACTTTATGATGGATAGACGGTTTTAGACATTCATATAAATGCAAAACATTCCTGTTTGTTTTGTGAATAAGTTAGATTTTGATTTTAATAATGACTTGTTTTTTTTTTTCCAGGTTTCAAAGGTAGCGGCATATGCATACAGTGCAATTTCACAGATAAAAGTTGACGCAAAAGAGGAACTGGTGGTGCAGTTTGCTATTCCCTGAGCGCCTGAGGATAGATTTCTGTCCTTGGTCTACTCCGATTTCTTTCTTTATCTCCCTTATGTTTCTAACTACACCCTCCATCTCTCTCTGTCCAAGACATCAGCGGTGCTACTGTAGAGCATCAACAGCTGATCGACTTGGAAACCGAACTTTCGTACTATAGGTCAACTCGTACCGAACAGGAACTTCTAAAGTGTGTGTGTAGGAATCTCTTTTGTGACCTGTGGAGGAATTTCAGATCCATGCTGTTCTCAGTGTATTAGTAAGATGGCGCTAAAACTATGGCTTGGATTTTCATTGGTTAAGCATTTTTTATGGCTAGAACACCATAAGTGAATGCCACTATGAAAACAAAAATGATATTGGGTCCACCTGAGGATTTCTTTTGAAACCCATAGCTCAGAGATTAACTGGAACACGTATCTGGTTGTGCAGTGGGTTGATTTTGTTAATTTACATCTCTGGAGGCCAGTGACCAAATCCAGTTTATTGTCCTGAAATGTCTTGGGTTTGGGAAACCTCAGCCTAGACTTATGTAGTCCACAAAACTCTCACACAACACTACACAGTTTGTCACATTTTATAGCCTCTGGTATGCAAACAATTTAAGAACAGGGTACAATCAGGCCAGGACCATAGAGATTCATTACCACGTTTTTTTTAAATGTACAAACTCACATAGTGCTTAACCCTTCTTGTCATTGAGATTTGCTGTTGCTATATTTTCTCTTGCAATTAACCAGCACTTAAAATTCACGGGCACGCAATTTAAGAAAGGAAAAAAAAAAGAAGCTGATGAGTTTAAACAATATTTAGTTTGTCAGTGCCTTTAATGTACAGATTTTGTAATGCATGGAGGCAAGGAATAATGGTGTGATTGAGGTTTGTATGGTTAGTTGGTGTTGCAATCATGTCGGTTAATCACTAATGACTTTTCTTGAGAAAGTGGAAGTTATGAAAATGAAAGCCAACAAAAGATTCAAGCCCTAGTTTTTATTAACAGAAGACATTTTATTAATCTGAGGTTCATTAATTTTTTAAAAAAAGAAACAGGAATTGAGGGAATGTGGAGACTGGTCCTCATCCATTTACCTAGTGTTGAAAAGTCAATGGCTGCTGTACTTTCGAACAGTTTTAATGTCAAGATACTTAAAAATACAAGTGTATTTTTTTTCTTTTTAATGTATTTATGGTCACTTTATATTTTCTTTTCTGGTGCGAGCAGATCTCTAGTGCAAAGACAGGCACTTTTTGGGTTTTAAAGGGATGAACCTTAGGGCTGTAAAACATGAACAGACATCTTATTTTTGGCTTTTTGCAGCGTGCTAATAGTATTTTTTTTACTTAAATGTATTACTACCTGAATTACATTGTTTGTTTCTTAGGCTAGTACCAAAACAGCATTCATTAATAATGGATTCTGTTAATACCATTTTTTGTTGTTTATTGAAATTATGCATTAAAAATATTTGAAATACCTGATAATGTTGAATGTTGTTTTTTTATGCAAACATTCAGACCTTAAATATTAAAAATAAAACCATAATTTCTGTTCATTTGCACCAAACCAGTTGCCATATACTGTATATTACTATCACTGTGATATGGCATGTGATATACTGTAACACATCACCATACCCAACCCTATACAGTTTCTAAAGGGTAAGTATAGTTACACCCACTGCACGAAATAATGGACATTGCAGAATATTTCTGACTTTACAAAAACTATGTGATGCAGCATATACATCTTGCCTGGCTATATAACAGCAAAATGCAAATTTCGTCGTACCCAACTTACAACAATTGACTGCTGAATGTTAAATAAGATTCTTTGCATTCCGTTTGTTAGATTTATCTGTGACGTAAATGAGGAATGAGTGTAATTTGTTAAGGAAAAAACGAGTATGGAAACATGGTATGATTCTTCAGAATGAGGAAAATGTTTAAATACAGCATGAGGCTAGCATTTTACATTATGATGCAACTCTACTACGCAGTGATGTGAGAGAGAGAGCTGTATTCTGTTTTTGCAGCACACTTCAGTCCCGTATGACATCAGGCTTACTAGGCACGAGCGTGACTTCCATCTATTCATTTGGAGTCTTCCTGGAGCGCTTTGGTCGGCTGGACCCCCTCCTCCAGATCTGGGCAGTGACCCTGTCCTGCTTAGTCACTGCACTGAAATCCAGTGACTTTAAATGAGGGAGTGCTGAAATCACGTAGTTCCTAACAACATTAAGGACACGGGGAAACGGCAACTGTGAGAGAAGGCACGTGGCATGAGTGGACTACAAATAGTAAAAGACGAGATTCCCGATGGGAATGCGATTCTCAGCATTTTATGCATTTGGAATGCATGTGATGCATGATATTTGACCTAGATGTTTTACTTGTAAAATACAGCAAAAATGTGAAAATGGCTATGCTCTTGATTTGTTTCAAATGTTTTTCCATTGCACTGATCAGATATAGATCTCCCTCACTGGCATACAGGGCAGATCGTAACTTGAGATCCAGCTCAATAAAAAACATGTCAAGAAGCAAAGCGTCTCCTGATGTTCTGGGCACCTGTTCTTTCTAGCACCAAGCCCACCCTAGCTCGAGAAGCATCATGACCAGAAAACCAGTCTAAATTAATTTTCCTGGAGCGGCCTGATGCAGCTTGCTCCATTAGAAACACGAACCCCAAAAAGGACATTTTGAGTGTAGAAAACACAAGGTTGCAGAAAACGATAGGAAGCTTTCTGTAAGCTCCGCTTCACTGACCTGTAGTCTTTCTCATTCTCCAGCGTGTTGCCGTGTAGAGTCAGGCTTTGAAGGTGAGGAAGAGCCGCCAACTTGTCCACTTCTGATAGTCTGGAAATGCTGTTTCCGTGGAGATACAACACCCGTAACTCCCTGAACTCAGTTAGGATCTGGGGGGGGGCAAAGACATAACATGACTTCATTGGCTTTGACTCAGTGATACTCTAGGCCTTTGGATTGCCGGCCTGTCTTCAAAATGATCCTGATCGCCTCAAAGATCGTATTACTGGACACTGCTTCACATATCTACTGCAATACATTTATCAATAGAACAGGTAAAGAGAAGAAAAGAAAGACAGCGTCTCAGCTGTGGAGGAACCTTTTAACTGTTCCTTTGCTGTCCATGCATGCTGATGCAGCGCCATACCTGAATGTCATTAATCAATAGTGTAACAGAAGTCCACAGTCGTGTTTACTATGCTCCTGTGACCTGCTAGTTCTGCTTATTGTAGTGAAAGGATTTTTCTGTTAGTGCTAGCAGGTGGAACTCTCCACACCTGCTGTGCAGCCAGAAGGAAGCATCACAGTAGCTCTTACTGGGTCGATGGTAGACAGGTCATTGAAGGACAGATCAATCCAAGACAGCTGTTTTGGGTCATCCAACAAGGCAGTAGAGGCAGTGGCGAAATCACTCAGGTTTGAGAGAATATTGTTGCTCAGCCTCAAAGCTTTGCTGCAGAACTTCCCTTCTGGGGTACGATGGACAGGCTTCAGACCTACATTGGGATGCTCTGACAGGACATCTGCAGGAAAGCAAAAGAACAGGCCGGGCGATACCTTGTAGTAAAGACGGCACGGCCGTGAGAGAACAGTGCATCTTTCTGTTGAAATTATTTAATTTTAAGACAAGGACTGGAATGCCGTTAGCAAATATGACTGTAATTTATTCAAGATCGCAAGAAAAAACTAATGCCTTTTTAATCTTAATCCTTGGGGATTCTGTGTCCCATTCCACACACAAAAAAATCTAGCGATGTTTTTTGGGAACAGAACGGAAAACTAATTTCACAGCTACATGAAACAAATTGCATACTGAAGATTAAGTATACATTATGCAGGGAGATACCTTCAGGGATTTAATCATGGATGATGATGCAGGAACAGGATACTGAATGAATTGTATTGCTATCAAACAGCTATTCTTTTTTTTACCTGCCAAGGAACTGAGGCATTTAAACGAAAAATCCACAGGAGGGCCATACATTTTGCGGCCCTTAGGCGCACCTGTAAATAAAACCGACAACAGAACAAAAGGTAACATCTGCCAGACCAAAGTAGCTGAAAGTGATACAGATTATTTCCAATCGCTGTTCTAACTTCTAAAATTGAAAAAAAAAGATTGCATATTAATAGCAGTTAATCACTACATGTCAATACAAACTTTTGAAAACCTCCTAGAAAATTTCGGGACGACAACGACAATTAAAAACGCTCCCATTTACAACATGAAAAAAAGAATAGGTTTCTCCCAAGCCACACAAAAATCTAACACAATCTATTATACCAGAGCAATACTCGTTTCCCCACTTCGGTCATTAAAAACATAACTCACCTGGCACCTCTTCAGTTCCTACCGCAATGTGCTAAATAATACTGCGACTCTGAAGCAACAACACTTCATTTCCATGACGACCGGAGAACGTGGCTTTGTGGGAATTGTAGTACTACAGCTCTGTAACGCTTGTAGGACTGTTCTTGCCATATATACGGAAAGGCTCCGGGCTGCGGCGACCCTCGCCAGGAAGCCACGTGTTCGCTATGGTGCATGGATTGCTTCTACACTACTATTTTCCACCAGTCAGTTTACTGAAGAGCAAGAAAATGCACCACTCCTCGCTATACAAACATTGCACATGAAATCAGGATTGCTGTCATTAAATCACAACTCAAAAGTACACTATTCTCTTCAGCGTTTTCTAATGTTTAATTTGACTCCTGTTTTGCACGAATTCGGTGGTTTTTATAATTGTGTTTACAGTTTTTAAACACTTTGAGATACTGTCACAAAAAGGGGCATATAAAATAAAGGCTATTGTTAATATTGTTAATATTCTGCTGGATTTCATTTGGAGAAATATGTTTGGCCACAAAAAGATTACAAATTGCAGCTCTCTTTTGGAGTTCAGGGATGGCTGAGCCGCCTTGTTGCTTGTTGTACGAAACTGCACCTCGTCACTACAAGATGTCTTCAAGGAAAAGTGCAGCTGGGAGACCTGTAGATGGCGCTATTTCCTCCGAGTTATGGGGAGCTGGGATACAGTGTTGTAGGATGCACTGTCTGGCAGGAGAGACTTAAAAATATGCGTTTTTTTTAGGAAGATGAGTGTTAATCCTGGTTAAATTGGGTTTGCACAATTTTTATATGACCAAACTAACCCCTGAATTTAGCTGGTGAAGTAATTTCTCACTTTTCTATGTAATGAATAACCGGGCTGTTGGTGCTCAGTGACGGTACTGCTGTAGTGTTTTACGTGAGCCTCCTTTTATATGTGAAGGGTTTGGTATGGAAAATACTGTACTAATGCAAGCAATAATTATTCTTTTTATTATGAGCAGGCTGTTTAAAAGCAAGACGGGTGTTCTTTTGGTTAGGGTGAATGTTGGTTTCTTCAGGGCAAGCACACCATATTTTTATATATTTCTTTGCAAGTCAAAATACTCAAACGTTATCTATTTAGTCTTTATGTTGTATTTTAAAGTCGATAGCTTTATTTCATGAATCAGAAATCGAAATAATCTTTAAACTCCATTTATCCTACTGTGTCGAGTTAACGTAAAGAATATATTGTTTTCATAAGTCAGAACAAGTACTGAAATTGTTAAAACAGTAACAGATTCTTTGTCATTAGAATTGGACAGTGTCTTGACAAATTTCACAACCGCACCTATATAAGGGGATTTTTTCTACTTTTGTTTTGTATACATTTTGGTTTGTATTAAGACAGAAAGTGAGAGTTTATTATTATTAATATACACGCTGCGTTAAACATGCAGCAACTATTGATTTATCCAGTTCACCGCACTGCACCTTGGGTGATGTAACCTAACCTTATGGGATGTGGGCGTGAACTTTACGTGTGCGGAATCTCCTGACGTCGTGCGTAGCCAATGAACGCATCCGGTGATCTCAAGCGCCGAAATTTGAAAACGATTAGACAGGCAGAAGGTGACAGTGAAGGGGTTATGGTCTATTGTGTATTTTAAAGGTAGGTTTATTTCCCCCTCCACCGTCCTGATCACACTTTTTGTAAAACCAATTATTTTTAATAATTGGTTGTTTACTTTGAAAGAAAACTTTTCATCTTTGTTATGTTCCTGACTGCGGGTTTGTATATTTGTTTTCTTGACGGTTAGCGTTTACAGATGTGATATAAAGTTTTGTGTGCATGCTAACGCACACTAGAGTCTTTGCAACCCTAACTATATGCTTAGCACCGTTACGGTGGGGGCTAGCTATATTGAAGTCAGTCTCCGTTTGACTTTCGATAAGCAATGATTAGAAAACTGATTAGAAAAGACGAACAACAGAAGTCATTCTAAATGTCTTGTTTGAGCTCTGTCGCATAAGCACAACAGAGCAACGACCGAAATTTGGTCAAAATGTTAATTTGCTGCGTCTGTGATGTATGCGCGGTTGTTTGTGTTATCTAGGATTAAATTCGAAATCGCGTAAAACCCCTTCTTTGACTCGGTTGATATGATCGCGGTTACGAAGGAGTTCCCAGGTTAGCAATCAGAACCACTCGTGAAGTCGGTAAGATTTCCAAAGTGAAATGTTTAGGTGTAAATGTGAAGGATCTCTGATAGAGTCGGAACTCTTAAACTGGGGCCAACAACCCAGGGGAATACGTTTATTTTCTTTGTCTAGTATATAATTAGACTAGGACTCTAATTTCTTGGTTTAGGGTGTGTCGCCTATTTTAGACGGATTTTCTGTTAGTTTGAAATCTGAAATGACCAGTCAGTGAGTTAATGAGTAAATCCTCCACAAGGAACGCCCTTTTCCCAAACAGGCTTCTGAAATTTCAACAAGATTATCCCTTGATGACGAAGTTTGTTTTTCCTAGTTGCATGTAAGAACTACTATTGCGGTAGCGCGCTAGCTAATGCACAACAATCTTTGCTCAGCATGTAACCGTGTGATGTGGGCCTATATATACTGTATATGTTTTCAGTCAGCTTCGTTACCAATTTGCACCGACCTACACTTAAAGGTCTTTGTTTTAAAATGCCCAAGGTCTTTAAGTAACTTGGTGGTTCTGTGTACTTTTAAACGGTGGACACATTTTTCCCATTGAACAGATGAAACTGATACTGTAACTGTATCAATTAAAATATTTTCGGTGTTATTTTCCTTCTAAACCAAAAAAGAACGACTTCAAGCAACACCTTTAAGAACGGTCTTTTTAAAAATGACGAATCTGAACAGTTTGCTTTTAGTGCATCAAGCATTCAATTGTAAGTTGTTTTTTTTCTAAAAGAAAATGTATTGGTTAATATTGAATATTGGAGAGAGACAGCAGAAAGTGAAGTCTGAAGACCATTATGAGTATCGATCCTTAATAACTGACTTTGATTGTATCCATCGAACGTTGTATAATTAAGGGCAGAAATGAAAGGTAACATAATTTAAACCATATGTACATATTATTAAAATAAGTGTATCTTGTTGGGTTCTAAACCTGCTCGCTCACTGATATTTGAGTCCTAGATCGTTGTAGCTGATCCCACTGCTCAGTTTGCTTTAATACTGTATATAACATTACTGTTGCTTTTTCTCATGATGAACAATGATTTTCCTTGTTGTCCACTGGAAAATTGTTGCTTTAGGGTCCTTCACGTGAAGGACTTAATCAGTAGAGATTCTCATTTTCTAACAGAAATGTTTGAATGCATAATTATATTAAGATGATGGTTTGTGTTCCAGTCATGAAATGTTTGTGCTCGTTTATAGATCTAAATAATTACTCAAAGTTTGCTTTCCAGCAAAGCAGTGCTAGTATTTTTGCAAGTGACCTTGAGTGCCAGTTTTGCTCACCAGTTTTGCTCCTCCTGCAGGGGACAAGAGAGCCTGTATTGTTAGCAATGGCTCTTCATGAAACAAAAGAAGCTGCTCTGTTGATTTGGGTAAGTGTTATTACTGCTAAAGCTTTTTTTCTCTTTATCCTCTTGTAATGGGCAATATAGGTCTTGGCTTTTGGTGTTAAATTTCATGTTACTAAAGGCATCTGCTTGTGTCAGTTAGACTGTGCTTCAAGTTGTTTTGGCCAAACTGCACTCAAGTGAAATTTTGTGTCAAGCACAAAGCTTTCTTTACATAGGAAACATCTGCTTAGTTTGCCACACTTCGATTCCTTTCACAGTGTAGTTTCTTTTTTTAAATTTACACAGTCGCAAATCTCTTTTTTTTCCTGTTTTATCAGATCAACAGCCTCAACTTAGAAGAACCTGTTGACAAGATCTCCAACCTGCAGGATGGCCGTCTTTTAGTTAAACTGATATACAAACTGTAAGTGGCATAG